GCTAGTTAATTGTGTTGTCCTGGACAAGTCACTTGAATAACCTAAGCCTGTTTTCTCCTTCTGTAAGATGAGGTTATTCTGTCTCATATCCCTTGAAGTCACCTCAGTGCCATGATTTTCCAGGGTTCACTTGTGGAGTCCAGAGGAAGACACGTCTCCGCTGAGGCCACATACTCTGTGCACTGAAAAGTGACTCCAGATGTCTGGACTTCCCAGGAGTACAGCCTGGCTCTCCTTCCTCCACTTCACCAGGAGCAGAGGCTGTGGGCAGGGTCCCCAGGAGGGCGCTGCGTCCTTGTGATGCATTGCTGGTCGTCCCACGTGGCTGGTTGTAGTTATCAGCTAATGGGTCTCTGGAGTCCCAGCTCAGCTATGGCTGTAATCAGGAGGAGGCTCCTTCCTGTCTGGGCACCTCGGGCTTCCTGTTGCACAGCAGAGGAGCTATTTGGACAGACTTTTAGCTAGGACGGGCTGCAAAGGTCAGTCTAGCAAAAGTGCTTTAGCTCCTTGGCTGAGACTGGCCCAGTGCGCCTCCCTGCTCCAGCCGTTGGCAAGGCTCTGAGAAGCCTCTCTCTAGCTTGCTGTGCTCCGAGGTGAATCCCTAAAGACTTTCTTCTCTGCTCATCACATCTCTCCCCATGTTAATGCATTTGTTTTGGGATCTTAGCTGTTCCGCCCTCTGGGAAAGGATTGTAAAGCTATGAGGAGGAAACAATTGAAAGTGCAGAGCTTGAGCCTCAGCTGCGGATCCAGCTGCAACCAAAGCATTTGGGAGGTTTTTTGTTTTCAATTTTGGGAAGAAGTGAAAGAAGATCCACCTAAGAAAGAGTTGCCTGTAAGGTATGAGTGAGACAGGATCGTTTGATTAAACAGTGGCTTTCTGAAGACTGAGGCTTGGGGAGGGGGTCAGGGGCCTGATACCCACTGAAAGCCAGGTTACTCTCTCTGCTGGACTTTACAGATGAGGATGGCCAGGACTCTGGCCACAGCATCTCGGAATTCAGAGAATTCTAACTAATCCTGAAGGGAGGAAAACCCACTGCCCACGGAGTGAAGCAGAGCATATATTCCCCAGGCCCTTGGGTAAATGGTACAAAGCTCTCACCTGAGGACAAGGAGAATCTGCAAGTCGGGGTCCAGCCTGTAGGATATGAATGACGTGGGCAAAGGACACTGATGTGGAACTTGGGTTCCACCCTTCTGTGGACCTCTTTTCTCTATGCTGACAGTGGCTACGTGACTGGTCAGAGTGACTCATGATGGGAGTGGGCTTCTGTCTGCTGGGTTTTGCAGACATGGCTGCCCTAAAATGAATCACCCAGCTCTCCAGCATCTAAAATATTTTCTGCGAGTAGACATTCACTTCTTTGGACAGATACATTCTTTTCTAGGCATTCCCTTTGAAAATGCAGTTGCCTTTGAGAGGGAGATAGAAGCAGATGGGATTCTCCCCTGTGAATAGCCCATGAGGCAGATTTTTTTTTTCCAAAAAGAGATGCCAGGGAGCAGGCGGGCAGTGGATCCTGGTGGGAATAAAAGTTACTGTGGGATGGTGGCCATAGGGTGACACTGGGGAAAGAGACTGACCTTGCAGAGGTGGGCTGAAGTCAAAGTGCATCTGTCTCTCAGGTGGCTTCACTTCCAGGATGAATGCTGAGGTGCTCTGTTTCTCCCTCTCTTTCTTGTTTTTCTTTCCTTCCTTTCTTTAGCAAATATGTCAATGCCTACTAAAGTGGGAAGTCATATTAGTCTTTGAAACCCTAGAATGATAACTGGATCTTTTATTAAAGAATCTGATGGTCCAGCAGCAGAAGGAAGACGTGAGACAACCTTGTCCCACTCACCTTTGCAGGTCCCCTGATGGGAGCCAGTACAAAGCATAGGGGGACAGGAGGGCCCCAGAGGGGATGTTCACGGAGGCCTCCTGGACACGGCTGTTCTCTGGCTGCAGCACACATGTGGGTGAATTCCACGAGTCAAGGAGAGCAGAAGGGAGTGGGGAAAGGTGCTAGGTGGGAGCTAGGGGACTACTCCAAGTAGGCGCAGCCACAGCAACAGTGCTGTGGTGTGAGCCCCAGGCCTTGGAGGGGGGTGGGGCGGGCAGGAGCTAACGAGGTAGGCGGGTCTGTGTCGAGGGATGAAACCACCCAGATTGGTGTGTCAGGGGATTCCCCGGGAGATGTAGGCTTCCCTGCAGAGGCTCCTGTTTGGTTCCTAAAGTGAGGCTGTAGAGGCTGGGTGCAGGAGGGGCAGGGAAGGAGGCCATGTAACAGGTGCCTTCAGTGTGGGGGGTGGGTAGGGTGGGTATCTTAGTTATTTTTCTTGTTGCCGAAACAAAATGCCTGATTCCTAAAGTTAAAGGAAGAAATCTGATTTGGCTCACAGTTTGTAGAGGCTGCAGCCCATAGTTGGCTGGCTCCAAGGCAGGATGACATGGCAGAGGAGAGATGGTTCACAATGGGCAGAAGGTTGTGAACGTAGAACATGATCCCCAGTGATGGTAACAGCTTCTTTCTGCCCCTTTTATATACTATCTAGGCTACCTGGCTTAGAGGGACCGGTGCAAACCAATTTGTGAACTAAGTTAGCAATCACACACATCACACACTCTATATCCAGCCTGACCTATGATTGCATGAGGATTTGGGTTCACGGGTCATATCTAGGTGTCCCCCAAAGCCTCCTGTACTCAAAGGTGAAGCTTTTGGATAGGTCATTAGGTCATGGGGGCATGGCATTCATCAGTAGATTAGCCCCCTAAGGGGTTTATAAGCCACCTGCAATGTTGGGAGGGGAAGCCTGGTGGATGAAGGCAGGTCACTGGGGTGTGGTGTGGAAAGGTTTAGTTCCGCCCCTTGACTCTGCCTCCAGCCCACCGTACTATGAGCAACTTTCCCCCACTCTGTCCCCTCCACCCTGCCCAGACATCCTGGCTTGGAGCCAGTCAACTATGGACTGAAACCTCTATAAACTGGAGCCAAAATAAACCTGCCCTCCTTTACGATGTGAGTGTCAGGTATTTTGTCCTAGCAGCTAGTAAAGTGACTAAGATAGAGGTCAGATGTGACAGTTTGAAAGTTTGCAAAAGCATCCTCGTGTTAGCCTTTGCTTCGTGCAGTCAGCTTGTGTTGATGAGTGTGGGTTTGCAGTTAAGACCCTCCCTTGGAACATCATACTAACAGCCAATCAACAAGTGACCTTGACACCAAGCAAGGGAGATGACCCTGGCTGAGGATCCTCCTCCCATCCTGAGACCCTCAGCAAATCTAAGGTCATCTCCAAGAGCGATGCCAACTTAGTCTTGGTGCTTCTCATGATGACATGAACAGTAACATTCAGGGTGGCACAGTAGGGACTTGTAGATGAACCAGCCAGGCAGAGGGATTTCTCTTGATGTCCCAGGGCTTGTCACATCCTGGAGGGCCTAAGGTTAATTGCTATACAATTTCATGGAATGGGGAAAGATAAGAAAAATATATATAAATTTAAATTAGCAGAAATATCAATGGTTTGATAGAAAATGGCATCACAGAGAGAGGACTACGTGCAACCTGCGCCTCCTGAACCTGACAGCGTAGAACTCACGTGGAGAGCTCTTTCCAAAATGCTTATCTCTGGGCTCTGCCCCTGGGGCCTCTGGACCATGTGACTTCCAGGCTTAGCCCTGTGGCAGGCGCATGTGTGTGCTCCGTGAGTGCCCTGTGATTAAATGTATCCTCCTAGTGTAGGCAGGCAGGATGGCGGTGCTGGTGGAAAGAACTGGACAAAGAGAAAGCCTGGGTCACGCAATTCAGTGGCTGGGCCAGCTTGGCATCTTTGCAGGTATTTCATGTAACAAACTGGTAAAGGTGGGAATAGGGTAGGGAAGCTGGTTTCACCTTTCCCACCTTCCTCCTCATTATCTTTTCAATTTAACTCAGCTTCCATTTGAGAAAAATAAGCAGGCTTTTGCAGAACAATGAGATGGAATTTATCTTTTAACAAATCTTTTTGCTGAAGAAACAAGTGTGAGAACCTGAGTGTCCTGCCCAGTGACAACTAGCCAGTTGGCTCAGAAAAGGGAGATGTGGGGAGGAGGAATGTGGGGGGGGGACTGACGGATGGACATGGGGACCTGAGACTAGAGGCACCTATCAGCCACCTAGCTCTGTGTTGACATAGTGTCCAGGCCCTGGAGCCCATCAGATCTGGAGACCAGAGTAACTGAAGATCCCATGTAGCTTCTGTGGGGAGAATCTTAAGGACCTCAGTCTCTTGTGAGACCATAATGCCTGTTTGCGTTCTCTGAAGTTCCCCCAGCCCAGGTCCCTTGCTGCTCTCCTCTGTAGCCTGGACCACTCTCTGGGCTTTCTCTGGTACTGTGCTCACCGCTTGTTTATTATCTTCTCTCCTTTTCCCATCATCACTGTGCTGGACCCTTGATAGTTATCTGTATAAGAAGTGTGGTTTTTTTTTTTTTTTTTTTTTCTTTGAGACGAGGCCTTACTGTAGTTCAGGTTGGCCTCAAATTCTTGACCCTTCTTCTGTCTCAGCATCCTGCGTGCTGGGATTACAGGTGTGTACCATCTTGCCCAGTTTATTTGTTTCTAAGTGATGGTATGTTCTCATTGTAAAAGCATGACATGTTCACATAAAAAGTTTGGAAAAACAATGAGCTCTGCAGGTAACCTCTGACTCTTTGAGAAACTTCCAAGTGCTATGATAAGTGCAAGAGCAGAAAAGGTCTGTCACTTTCCCTGGTGCCCTGTCTCATTTCATGCTCCCTGCTGCTCATGTGCAACTCTGGTAGAAACACCTTTGTTGTGAGTTCAGGACCACTGCAGAGAAGTCAGGGACTTTTCCCACTCTGAGTAGGGGAGCTCACACACCTTTTTCCTGCCCCTGGGCATGCCATGGTGTACTGAAAAGCTGTGGCATACCCTGTGTACTTCTTGAGTAAGCTGCTGGGGCAAATCATCGGCAAGATCACAACCCCATGTGACACACTGCCGAGAAAGAGTTACGGATGTGCAGAGATGCAGCCGCTGCCAGTCCACAGGTGGTGTGTTTGAACCTGGGGCAGCTGGGATCCTGGCTGTGAGCTGCCTTCACTGTTCGCCCTAGGTTGCTGTACAAGTCTAATTTTCTGTATGTGTCGTGATGTGAAGATTGGGTAGACATGATTTAACAATCTCAGCTTTGGCTCCACAAGGGGAAGCATGGTTGGATTAGACAACTTCCTGTCCCCAGGACAAGATGCTTGAGAAATCAACTTATAAAGAGGAAGGCCTTATTCTTGACTCACAGTTGGAGGGGTTCAGTCTGTTGTAACTTGGCCCCATCACCTTTGGGCCTGGTGTGAGGCAGTAGAGTATATCATGATATGAGCACATGGTAAAAGGTAAAGGTGCTCACCTTTTAGCAACTAAGAAGTAAGAGAGAATCAGAAAGGCCCAGAGGCTCCATATCTCCTTGAGACCACACCTCCTGTGACCTCACATTTCCTTCCAGGGCCAACAGATTAAAGGCTCTTGCACCTCTCAATGGTGTCAGAACTGAGTACCATGCCATTAACACAGAGGTCTTAAAGGACTTATCAAGGTTGTGTTTAAAGGTCACTTTGGAGAGGATGGTCACTTTGAGGTCACTTTGGAGATGAATGGGACTTTGGAGCTTTGTTTTCCCAGCTCCTGATTCTATGCACATCTCTCAGATATTCCTCACGTGGATGGATCAGAGTCCATGCTTATGACCTTACAGGGACCCCTAGTCCATTGTTCTCTATCAAACAAGAGCAGTTTCCACCCTGTGAAAACCAGAAACTCTCTCTGGATGACAGTACATAAGCTCACACTAAGCAGTGACCTCTTTGACCTGAGTAGTGAAATCAAAAAGCTACCCAGTTATGCTAGCATCTCCTTCCATGCATGCACCAATACAAAGTGGGCAGTTTAGTTTTCCTAATATGTAATTTATACAAAGATTTGAGTAGTTCTGTAGCTGTGGTGTTGGGTTACAATAAAAGTGTATTACAGGTCCTCATGCACAACTTCTTGAAGTATATACTTCACAAAAACAAGCACTGCTACTTTGTTGTCAACATGGGTAGTCTCATTAAACTGGATTGCACACCATGGTAACTCATTGGCCATTTCTTTTTTCTTTTTCTTTCTTTCTTTCTCTCTCTCTTTTATTTTTTTTTTTTTTGCGCAGAACCGGGGATTGAACTCAGGCCCTTGCACTTGCCGGGCAAGTGCTTATTCTACTGAGCTCTCTCCCCGGGCCCCTCATTGGTCATTTCCAACAATTATACCTCTATCTTGTGCTGTCTCACTAGCTATCTAGTTACAGTGCTAGCTGGAGGAGAAACACATGCCACCTTTTGAACTTGAAGCTCTCCTAAAAGTTCATGACAAATGTCCTTAGCAGCAATTTCCGTAGTCATCTGGCCCCAGAGACGGTGGCGCGGCAGAGAAGGAGCAGTGAATGAGGCCACAGCAGCCAGCTTCACCTCTTTATAGTCCATCTAGGCTGCCAGCCTATTGGCTGGTGCCGCTCGCACCCAGACCTATGCTAAACCAATCAGTGAACTAGTCCCATTACCACATGCCCTTAATTTAGTATTGCAGCATCCATGATCCAACCACCTTCCAAAATCCCACTTACGAGACTTGAAGCTTTGTGGCAGACATCTAGATGTAAACCATAACACTGCTGAAAGAAGTCTTTTTTAAAAAATATATCAATTTGTTTGTTTTGTTTATTTTTGAGGCAGAGTCTTGCTATGTAGTTTAGGCTGTTCTTGAACTCATTATGTAGCCTAGGCTGGCCTTGAACTCATGGTGATCCTCCTGCTTCAGCCTCCAGAGTGCTGGGATTATAGGTATGCACCACCATACCTGACCAAATGAAGTCTTTCTGGAACACTGCTTTGAATATAATCTACAAGCTGTTGGCACCTCATTATTGCCCATAAGAAAAGACCATGTTGCTTAGCATGCTGCCAGTGCCTTTCACAGTCCACAGTTGGCCTCTGTGCCTGTCTACATGACCTGAGCAGCCAGGACTCCTGGGACATGTCACATGCTGTCATTTCACCCACTGAGCATACTCCCTTTCCCTCTCGTCAGTCAAGTCTTAGATGGAGCACCATCATCCACTCCAGAGAAGCCCTGTCCTACTGGGTGGGTGGCGTGTGCAGTGCTGTCTTCCTTTTTTGGTTGACACTCGCTGTCCATGCCCTTTGTCCAATACCTAGTCTGAGTTGTATTTTTAAATGTACTTTTTATTTATCTTTCACTTCCTCACTGCATGCTCAAGGTCAGCTTGTTGTTACTGATGACATATTAATCCTGACTAATGTTAGTGAATGAGAAGTTGAGTGCTGGTGAAATTTACCATTACGGGATTTCCTTATATAACATCATTTTCCCTTTGATAGATAACCAAATCCTGCATGTACTGTACGTTGGCCAGTGAACTAATGTGGTGTCAGATATCACTCCATGCTATGCAACCCCACTCTCCCAGAGGGATTCTGGGAGGTGAAGACCAGCTATTACAAATAGTCCTCATGAGTACAGCTCCATGGAGAATTTGGTATGCTGGAGGATATGTTGTACCCAGTTGCCAGACTGTACAGAGGTAGACCTCACCCTGATGCACCTCAGCTTTGGATAAATATCCTTCATTACCCTAGGGGAGGTCTGGAGAAGAAGAACCCAGAGTTCCTCAAGAAACAGAACTTGTTGTTTAAGCTGTGGCTCTTTCACTAAACTTTTGTCACAGTTCTTGCCCCAACTCATAGCACTCAATCTGTAATTTAGTTTTATTACTTACATTTTATTCTTATCCTTAGTAGTGGCCACAATATCCATGTTTAATATGCTACTTAGTTTTTCAAATAACTAGTGAAAGAAATGCATAGTCATTAGATAACTTTATCTGTATACAGCATACTACTACGTCACATATCTCCATACTGTGCTTGCCCTTGCCAGCTTTTGGGATACACCCCTATCAGATTTTAGTTTTTCCTTCCCACTCCTTTGTGGGAGTCTCTTATGATCAATCACTGGTGTTCAATTTGGGTAGTTATGTTCTAGTTGGTTCCACTAAGTCTCCTTTGAACTCCTTTGGACAGAAAAGACATCTGCAGAAAGTTATAAACATTTTCTTTTCTAAAAAGAAAGAACCACTTAGTTTATTTTTTCCTGAGTCCAGGGATTCAAGCTGAGAATTTGCTTGAAGAAAGGGTTGTATTGATGTTTTGAGAGTGAAAACCATAGGGTGAAGTCAGCAGCCCATGATTAATATGGGTGGAAAGTTCATTTGTTCGGGTGGTAATTCACTGAGGCATTCCATAAGTAGTGCTTCTTCTTCTTCTCTCTCTCTTTTTAAATGTATTTACTGCATGGTCTCCAGGCTCTCACTACACAGATCAGACTCACAATGATCCTCCTGTTTTCAGCCTCCCAAGTGCTGGGATTAGAGGTGCGCGCCACCACGCCCAGTGTCAGTCGCCATCTCTGCTCACCCTGGGGATGGGGCCAGCACACTAAATGCATCTTTGAGTTTTTGTTAACTCTTCCTAACTTTGGTCCAGTAAATCTAGCTTCAAGCGTATATTGTTCATTGTAATGAGACAAAATAAGTCTAAGCAGCTTGAAACAAAGGTGTGCCAATCACTATTACAAATTTCTTCCACTTGATCCAGGTTGAGAGTCAACCTTTGGTCCAATTCCAAAAGCTGCCTTCCAAGACCAAGAATCCTAGAATGACCCGATTTTTATACAAGGTAAGAAGCAATGATTAGTGTCTTTGTCACTAAGAAAGGAGGAGGGAAGGTGGATGGATGGGACATCTTTCAGCAAGCATTTGCAGTCAACTTAACATGGCAATGAAAGCACCCTCTCTGCATCTAATGCTGCCTCTCTGTACGGTTTTCCTGATTATCCAACTTATTTTATGCTTTATTGATATATTCAGTTTATCATATAAAAATTGATGAGATATTGAAGCTTGCGTGTCTGATACACTTCACTTAACATTATGGTCTCCAGGTGCATCCATTTTCCTACAGATGTCTCGTTTATCTTCCTTTATGGCAGAGTAGTGCTCTATTATGTATAAATGCCATATTTTCTTTTTCATTTCATCTGTTGAAAGACACATAGGCTGCTTCCAATATTTAGCTATTTATGTTAATTTTTATTTGTACACATTTATAGTAAACAGTGATTACACCCATGTGGGGGATGGTACATACACATAACATACCTCAATTCTTTTTTCTCCTTCCCCTTTTGCCACATTAGATTTGTTTATTTATAAGTCCTTCTAAAGTTAATTATTATCCATACAGATTAATAGACTAGTAGGGAAAAAAGAAAACCACATAAAAGGGCAGGCCAAATAGCTCAGCAGATTAAAGCGCCTACTTAGGCAGACACAGGGTTGGAGGTTTGATCCCTGGCCTGCCAAGCCAGCCCTACCCCCGGGGCCTGCTGAGACAGGGATTGAGACTGGACATGGTAGCACATGCCTGTAATCCCAGTGCTTGGGAAGGTGAAAACAGGAGAATCACTACAAGTTCGATCTGTGTAGTGAGACCCTGCAGACCCTGCACTAAATACAGAAAACAACAACAACAACAAAAAATAAAACACCTAAAATAATTATACTAAATCAAAGTATACTTTTAGAGACATTGTCCACACTGATTAACTTTTTTCCTTATACATATTTTATTTTACACTTTATTCATTTATTGAGTTTGTCATATAAGAGAAGCCATAGTTAAGCTTGTGTGTGACTTAGCATTATGGTCTCAAGGTGCAGTCGTGTTCCTGTAAGTGGCTCAGATGTATGTGCTGTGACAGCATAGGTCTCCATAGTGTATAAATACCACATTTTCTTTACCTATTCAACTATGGGTGGACATATAAGCTGCTTCCAAGGTTGAGCCAATATGAATTATGCTGATATAGACACACACGTCTATATGCCTGTGATATGATCTCTTCAACTCTTTGGGGACGATACCTAGAACAGGAATATCTCGGTCTATTTTAGTGTTTTTGAGGACTCTGTACACTGATTTCCATAGCAGTTGTCCCAGTCCCACCCACAATGAAAACTTCCTTTTCCCTTGCAACCTCACCTGCATTTATTATTGATTCATTCCTTGGTGATAGCCATTCTTTTTGGAGTGAAGTAGAGTCTTAGTGTCACTTTAATTGCATTTCTCTATTAGCCAGCGATGCTGAATGCTTTTCATGTATTCATTTGCCTCTTGTACTTCATCCGAAAAGTCTTTCAAATGACCAATTTTGACTGGGTATTTAAATTTTTGGGCCTATTCTTTTGAGTTCTTTTTTTTTTAAATTAATTTATTTGTGTGTGTGTGTGTGTGTGTGTGTGTGTGTGTGTGTGGCCAGCTCAGCCCACCTGGGGGTGGGGCTGGCTGGCATGTAGTGCTGGGGGATTGAACTGTAGTCCCTGTGCTTTGCTAAGCTTGTTTTAAGTAGGTGCTTTAGACCACTGAGCCATCTTATCAGCCCTCTTTTGAGTTCTTGATGTATTCTTGATATTAGTCTTTTGTCTGAGGAGTAGCTGGCAAAACAATTTTTCTTATGCTGTAGATTGTCTCTTCACTTTGTTGGTTAATTTGATGTGATCCCGTTTGTTGATTCTTGGTATTATTTCTTATGAAACTGGGCTTATTTTCAGAAAGCCTTTTCTTATACCTATGTCTTCAAGGGTTTTACCATTTTGTCTTCTGTTCTGATGTTTAGATCTTTGATCCATTTTGATTTTAATTTAGTGGGTAGTGAGAGATATGGATCTAGATTCTTTGGCACATGGATAGCCAGTTTTCCCAGAACTATTTATTATGTAAAGTGTTTCTCTTTGCTAGGGTAGATTTCCCCTGGTCCCTCTGGATGAGCCGGGTGCCATGTCCCAGGCACTTTCATGCTGGCTGCTCTACCTGCAGTGTAACAGTATGGGCCAGGTACCAGAGTTCCTCTAGACTTAGGCTCCACGGATAGTGCCCGTAGGGTGTGGGTGTCTTTCTTCCCCCAGGAGCTCATGGAGGCTCACTAAGATTCATCATCACTCCCATGGTGGAGTGGGGTTTCTCTCCTCCCTAGCTGTTCAAGGTTTTGAGGCTTACCAAGTTTCCAGAAGTATTTGTTAAAAGATGCTCACTTTCCTCCAGTGTGTTTGGACTGTTGGGTGTACCTAGAGTTGTTTCTGTATCTTTTATTTTACTCCATTTATGCATAAGCCTGTCTTTTGCCCATACCATGCCATTTTTATCATTGTAGCTTTGTAGTGTAACTTGAAGTTCAGGATTGTGGTGTCCTCTGCCTTGGCCTTGTTACTCAGAATTACTTTTGCTATTCTAGGTGTCTTCTGGCTCCATATGAATTTTAGGGTTGCTTTCTTTAGTTATATAAAGAATGGGATTGATATTTTGATTGGATTTCATTAAATATGTATAACAGTTTTGAAAGTATGGCCATTTTGACACTATACAGTTTTAATTATTGCTATTCATTAATAGACTCTCTTCCAATCAATCAACCAACCAATACAGCAAACCAGGATCCAAGTACAGAAGCCCACGTCTACTAGGTAGCCATAGGGGAAATGAGAGTTCATGTTGCACCCTGGAAGATCTGTGTTATGGGAAGAAAATCTTCCCTGTTTCTGGATGACAAGATATTAGAATAAAGCCAATAGTAGCTACCATTTATGGCGTAATCTATATGTATTACCTCACAAACCCCTGTAAGGTGGGTTCCAATTTTTTTTTTTTTTTATAATGTATTTGGTACAGGGTTTCACTACGCAGCTTGGATCCTCCTGATCCTCCTGGAGCAGTGATCCTCTGTTCTAAGCCTTCCCAGTGCTGGGATTACAGGCATGCACCACTGCGCCCAGACTCAGTCACCAGCTCAGTGTGCCCGGGGGCAAGGCCGGTGCAGCATGTGGTGCCAGGGATTGAACGCTAGTTCCTGCGCTTGCCTAAGCAGTGCTTAGTCCACTGAGCTATCTCACCAGGCCAAGGGGAAGGTGGTTGCATTTTTGTTCCCATGATAGCAATGAAATATCAGAGAGTCAATGTGACCTACTCAAAGTCTACAGTTAGTAAAGTTGCAAACTGCAAATTTAAATCCAAGCTTATTCTTCACTAGATTGCTCTGATCCCTCAAATCTGCATTTCTTCCCAAGAACTTGGGTTAGGCTCATGCCTGTGGGGAGGAGGCTAGACAAAATGATCCCTCAAATCTGCATTTCTTCCCAAGAACTTGGGTTAGGCTCATGCCTGTGGGGAGGAGGCTAGACAAAATGACCCCTGGAGTCATTTTCTTGCCAGAGGGCTTTGTAAAGTATCCATTTTCTGTTTCTAGACTACAAGCACTAACACTACTTCGCATCCTTTTGCGGACACCAGTGGGAAGAAGAACTCAGTTAACTTCCCATCCATCAGCAACAGAAACCTGTTGAGACTACCCCTTCGGTATCAGGTGAGGATGGGGCAGCAGATGTGACCCTGGGGGATGAAAGACCTTGGTGCAGTCCAGAACCAAGCCTAGAAGGGCCGCAGAAGGTGAGGGAAAGCACAGTATCCCCTGGAGCGTTGGCTTCCAGTCCTGAGCTCACTCTTTATAGTGAATGTAAATGTGAGCAAACACGCCTTTGGCTTGCTTTTATCTGCAAAACAGGCTCTTTGTGAAGTCGTGATGAAGAGTCATTGAAGAAAGGGGCAAATGAAGTTCTGGGGTGTAAATGGAAGACTCACAAAAGTAGTATTTTCTTCCCATGTTCTCTACCTTTGCTGTGCAAGGATTAAGTGAGGTGATACTGAGGAGGGAAGTAACAAGTTAAGCAGGTGTTGCACATGCAGAAGTTCATGTTCATGTGTCCTTGGGCAAGTTACTTTATCTAATTGGCAATGGACAACAGTAAAGATGGTCCCATCTTTCTACAGTGACTGTCAGTGAGTTGCTACCTGTGTCTGCTAATGTACATAGATCTGCAAGGGCATATTATAAGTCAGACAGATACTTTCTTTGCGAGAAGGATTGAGAAAACCTATTGTCTGTTAACTACTGTTTTCCCTCCTGGAAAAGTAGGAGAAGATCCTTGCTAGCTATGCATATTCTGGGTCAGATATGTGATTTGTAACACCAGTAGAAGCCTAAATAAGTCTTTTACTACAAACCTTTTTCCCTAAACAGGAAAATCAAACTAAAGATCAGGTGCTGGCCTCTGAGAAGAAGACTTCAGAAATTCCTTTGCACCCTAGCATTAAAACCCAGGGTTTCAAGCCTGAGGAGAAGTCTCCAAAGAAGCACAAGTCTCCAAGGAAGCCTTTGACAGCATCGGGTATGACTTTGGGGTGGTGGCAGAGGTGGGCTGGGGCAGGAGGGTGATGTTAGGACATTGAGAGGTAAGCTGGGCTTGGTTGTCAAGGTGTTGCAGAGGGACTTAGGGTGACAAGCCCAAATAAAGAAGTCCAGTCCTTTATCCTCTTGCTGTGGTTGTATGAACAAGAGGCAGTAGCAGTGAGCCCCAACTTCCCACCATTCCACTTTCTCCACAGAAGCCCACTGGCCAAGGGTCAGATGTGTTAGTGCAAGCACAAAGCGCCATCTCACCACCTGTGGAACCCAGGCACAAGTCTCCTGTCATTTTGTTCTCAGGAACAGGGAAAAGTGAGAGGAGAAAGGATGTGTGAGTGGAAAAGTCCTGAATAAGAGAGTGGAATGTCTGGGGAAGACCTCAGCCAGGACCCCAGCAGAGGACTCTGAATGGTGGCTCTTGACATGGACATTGGTTGTGCCCAGAGGAGCTTGGTCAGAGACTGCAGGGCCCTGGCTGTGGGCTGTGGCCAAGTTCAGTGTGGGGAGGTCCACTGCACCCTCCCTCATGGGACCTGCCAGGCAGAGCCTTTTCAAGCATCCATGGTGGGGCCTGAAAGTTCACACGGAGAACGTAGGTGTTTTCAGCCAAGAGCCAGACCCAGAGGCAGTAAATCAAAGTCACCAGAACACCCACCATGTTCAACCTTCTCCAGGGCTCATAGCTCTTCTGCCATAGTGTTTTAATTGAAATTGCTTGTCCTTCATCTCTTTAAATGATCTCAGGATTGATCCATGAGGAGATAATTTCAATTCTGAGCTAGTTCTTTCTTTGTAGAGGTGACATCTGCCTCCTCATTCCTTGCCTTGGTTTTGTCCCCTGGACAAACAGTGTGCCTTCTTTAGAGTCTACATGACTGACTCAGGTAGAGGAAAATTCAGACCTTGAGCCCCACCTCTTTTTCCCTCCTTGTCAATCAATTGTTCACAAAAGACAAAGTGTCTTCCCTAACCCTGGTTTCTCTCCCCTGAAACCCCCCAGTTTATCTACAGAAGTCTAAATTTCAGTCTGCACTCCCTGAGCCCCACCTGCCTAGCGCAGCATGGAGCTGTTGGCACACATTCCCCTATTGCCTGGGGCGCTCTCGAGCTCACGTTTGAGTGTGAATACCAGCTGGGCCTTCAGAATTGTGCACACGTCCCCTGCCTGGCCTGAGCAGCGCAGCTTCAGGCCTCTCCAGGCAGACTCTGTGTCCCGCAATTCTGCATGAACTTGACAAATGGAACCTTAACAAAAGACTACTGTGGATGATTCCTGTATTGTCTTACCAAACTCACTGCCCACTTTTGGGGCACTAAATTCTTCTTCCCCAGTGTTTGTGTTTTCCTTTTGACTTGTTGAAATAAGTGCAAGACCTTTAGATTTATCCTTGTTGCATTTCTACCTGCTGTGGTTCCCAATGTGTGGTTCCTCAGGGAGCGCCTTGTTAAGGATGAGTTTCATGACCTCAAAGGATGTTGCATCATTAGCGGGCTGAGCAAATCTGCGTGTTGCCTCCACTTGCTGCCTGACAATTGTATTCTCCCCACAGAGGCCCTGACATATTATAAGAATCAGCTGTCTCTCTATGAGCAAAGGGAAATCTTGGGCTACACAGAGCTGTGGTTTCTGGGGCTTGAAGCTAAGAAGCTGAACGTGGATGCTGAGAAATTCAGCAAGACAAGTTTTGATGATGACCATGGCTGCTACCTGAAGGTGATGAGAGACTGATGAAGTCATGGTGACTTCAGGGACTTGGGCAGGACACAGAATGGGAAGGAAAAGGTCAGGGGGTATTTTGGAGCATTGTTGTTGATTTATTGAGGATGAGGCATCCAGAAAGATCTTAGTAGGTGCTAAACTAAAGAAATACCATGTATGAAGGATGGAAGAACATGAAATTTAGAATACAAAATACTCTTTTAAAAGAACAGTGAATTTGAGTGGGTGAGGTAGCTGAGTGGACTAAGCACCTGCTTAGGCAAGTGCAGGGACGGGGTTCAGTCCCTGGCACCACATCCCGTGCCAGCCCCGTCCCTGGGCTCACTGAGCCAGGCACTGAGTCCAGGCATAGTGGAAAA